GGGGACCACAATGTGATAAGATCAGGCCAGATGTTTCTATGTAGAGCAATTTATTTATTTTGGAGCTATGATTACGTGGTATAGCTGGTGGTCATGTTTAAAGGTCAGTTTATCCTTGTGTGCTAATTATCCATCCAGATGCTTAGTGATGTGGGTAAATCATGCCCTTCTACGATATATAATGTTTGACCATAAATTTGTTTTTACCACATAAACTGTGGCACTAATGTCAATTAACAATATTTACATTCATTGATATTTAAAGCGTGTTTTTTCCCCAGCACTACTACACAACAAAAACCTGTCGGCCCACCGAGGAAACACGGTCGCAGAACAAAGAGCCCAATTGTGCTCTTCTATTCTGTGATCGTGTGTATCTACTATAAACTAGCTAAATATACTAAGAAAATTTAATGGAATCATTACAGTCGTTTGATAAGTTCACGTGTCAAAGTAATGTTCATGGTGATCATATTTTTTGATCCCCGGTGGGCAAACACTCGTCCGAAAGGTCAAGGCAAACCTGTCGATGTTTCACCATACGAAGTAAGGCGATTTGAACATATACTCAGCTTACAACTCAACCCATGGGACGAGACGTCGTGAGCCTCAAAATTCTTCAAAATATACAGCACATACCTAGTTAGCAAACACTAAACACAACATACATACGATACCAAATAATGTATAATGCCATTACTAATTCGAAAGAAAATATATCTGCTATCTAATTTAAAAAATTGAAGAATAAACCTGAAGAAAGGGGAAGGAGAGGGGTTTGGGAGAGGCAGAGTAGGAAAACAACAGGATCCTGTGCCGCAGGATTTTAAAATTTGTTGTATGATGATTCGTTTTGTTTCGTCTCTTAGATTAATATATAGGTCTGATACCCTTGTCATGGTTCTTTGCAATAACACCGTGGTTTACTCATATGATTAAGTTTAGTTAATTAACCTATTTCAATGATAATTCATTTGCATCAAAGTTGTAACTGCACCATAGTTGTCTGTCATATTTAGATTGTAGTTCTAACAAAGCTTTCTTAAGATTATTCTTGAATATACTGATAGGAGTGGAGAAGTCTATTTCACTCGTTGACTTACGGCAGTGATTCCAAATACTGGTTGATTGGTAGATGAATAGTGAGGACGGAGTGGGTGGGATGAAGTAGTTGTCTCGTCTTGGTGACCTGTTGAATAAAGAGAACATTGAGACTGGTGATTGGAACTTATTAATTTTAAACATTTCCAGTAAACAGTGCAACTTATATTATGAAGATTGTGGACAGTCAGGAAGTTATACTCGTTACAGATTGGTTTACTGTGTTCTAGTTCAAAGAAATCTTTGCCTAACATCTGCTTGATAACTTTACCGGTCTTATCCCTAGTGATAGGCCTTACTCTGGCACATGTTTTGAACTTATTGAAGTACTCATCATTATCACCAAAGAGAATTCTTATGCATTTCTTTTGTGTTTTAAATATGGCTTCTAGTTTATTATTTGATACACCTCCCCAAACAGATATTCCATAACATAGGTGTGATTCAAAAAGGGTGTGGTACAGGTCCTTATAGAGTGTTTTAGGTACACAGCGTCTGATTCCACATAGTCTACCAATCTCACATTTCAATTTACGATTTAACGCTCTCAAGTGAGCATCCCAGTTCAGTTTTTGGTCAATAATGACTCCAAGAAACTTAGTTTCCTCTACCTTTTTAATTATTATATTATTCAGTGTCAGTTCTAATTCATTAGTGTTTGAATCTGGTTCATTTCTACAGTTCGGCTTAAAGTGGATATAACAACATTTCTTTGTGTTGATATGCAGCAAGTTACTCTTCATATATTGATGAACAAGTTTAAGAATTTTGTTAGCTTTGCAGTAAAGTGTTTTTATACATTTATCTACAACAAATATGTTGGTGTCATCGGCAAAAAGTATAAACTTACCTAGGTCTGATACTCTATATATTTCATTGATGTAGATAATGAAAAGCAAGGGACCTAATACTGACCCCTGAGGCACACCAAATATTACAGACAGTTTTTCGGATTCTTCTCCAAGTACTGAAACATATTGCTGCCTATTAGAGAGGTAACTGGCTATTAATTTATTTGCAGTCCCTCGAATTCCATAATCATTCAGTTTTTTAAGCAGTTTATCATGACAGATTGTATCAAAAGCTTTACTTAAATCAATGAAGATGCCTAGTACATGATTTTTATCTCTTAGTGATTTTTCAATGTAGTCGACAGAGAAGTTAAGTGCATGGCTTGTCGAATGATTTTTTCTGAAGCCATATTGATTTTCATATAATAATCCTTGCGACTGGAAGAAACTGTAAAGCCTGGAGAATATAATTTTCTCAAGTATTTTACCAGTAGTACATCGCGTATTCATGTTTGTCGGATGATAAGCGTCGACATTTTTCGAAGTAGCACTGCGGCGCGCTTTTTTCCGAATAGTAGCCAGCGCATGGTTGCAGTTCATTTCAAAAATTTTAAAATTGTGTCACACCGTTATTTGACGGGTATAATATCCATTTAATTTTACTAGCGCACGCGCCGCTTTCTTTTCGAAATATACGCATTTTAGGGGGCGCCAAATCGGATGATGATGAATTACTCTACTATACATTTTGATTCACGATGTCAATCCTTCGCATCTCGCCGATCTGCATACGATCTGTGGTTGCGAGAAGCATTATTTGATGCGCGCGCGACCCAGTAGTGCATCGCGCTACAAGCTGGCCCTGAACGACTATTCGAAATCTTAACCCTTTAATCTGATCCCAACCTTAACCCTAACCACTAACTTGACATACGTTGCATGCCACTTTTCGCGCGCGAAGCGCGCACCGCCGAAGGGTGGGATACGAAACATGTATCAACCACTAACACAATCCCTAACAAAAACATATGCTGAAACTCTAACCATAACGAGAAATTATACACACTTCCTTATACGGTCATATTACGTGATTGAGACAGGTTTTCGCCAATATCTCGCCAGGGGAGTATTGTAACCCTATGTCATGGGGCTGATTCGTAATCAGCGTCCGAAAATACATCGATTCAAGCTGGTTTCAACAGTCGGGGGCCCTTCTCGAACAATCTTGAAAATCGACTGTTAAGTGATTTAGCACGCTCGCGCCAAAATTTTAATGTGGGACAATTTTGAAAAACGTAACTACGGTATTAGTTGTCATACGTTGTATGACCCGCCGCGCACGAAGTGCGCGGCTCCCCCTGTATCGTCGAAGACGACCGTGGGGGTCACCACGTGATACAAGGTATTAGCAAAACTGTGCGTTTTGATCTAGAAATTACACACTTTTTTAGAGATTTTGCAGGCGTGAGGCGTATCCTCTGAAATAATCTAATTCGTTCAATTTTAGGGAGGGGCGCCAAAAGGGAAGCAAATTTTTGGTGGGGGCGCCAGTATATACAATATAGGTAACGTTGCGCCACTGCTTCTGGAGCAAGTTATTCCTTGGAGGACTTCGCCGCTTCGACGCGCCGCGCAAACTAGCATTCTTGGTTCGCATCGAAGCAAGACAACGATTTGGAAGGGTTGACATTCGTCAAGTTATTCCTTACTGAAACTTACTCCCTTCTGAGGTCAAAAATTCTTAATGCGTTTCGAGCTTTAAAATTAATATGGGAAAGTTTTTATAGGTTTATAACCTACCAAGACGCGCCCGAGTTGGACTCGTCGACGGTCTTGATAATATTTAAAACAAATATTTTACAAGTATCACCCGTTAAGGAGAGTTTAAGAAAAGGTTGTAGCGCGATGCACTACTAACTGGGCCGCGCCGCGCATATTCTCTCAACCAGCGTAGATTAGCGAGATGCACCACTTGGCCTCGTCGAGCTAGGAAGGATTGACATCGTGAATCAAAAGAAAAGGAGGAAAAGGAATAAGATTTGACTTATTTAGAACAACAATTATTGCTCTTAGAGGAGAAAGAGGGATAATAAGTGGTAGTGCACTTAGAATATCATATTTAGATATAAATTTAGAGCCAATTTAGTGGATTTTATATATATTATTACAAAGGGTTTTATTTTTACCTCAGTTTTTAAATTTGTACAATTTTTACAGAATTTTTATATAGGGTCATTTAATTGCTATATTATGTGTATATTGTTTGAATATTTTCCCTATCGCAAAAAATTTAGAGCAAATAAACTGAATTGGCTACTTATACTGCTTAAAGGGTTTTTATAAAATTTACTAAGATTTTTATTGAATTTGTATATTGAATTTTTATGCAGGGTCATTGTTCTTCTTTTGATTGGTCGGCGTCGACAGTAAGCCTTCCTTACGGTGGCTTTTACAACGTGTCCCAATTCTCCAACTCCTGCTGCCGGAGAGAGAGACTCCCAAATTATATACCATAAATATATTAAACATAGATATCGACAACAGACTCCGAGAGTCTTGAAGTTCTGTTACCACCGCCCTGGTGCAACCCCGCCGGGTTAACGACGGAGAGACAGGGACTTCCAGGGGAGGTCATGGCCTGCTACGTGCAACTCGTAGGAGTATGCAATGTTCCTGTAACGTCACTCTGTCACTGTAGACCGCTCCTCTATCGTTGTTTTGAGTGTCAGATCCAAAACCAAATCCTAGGGTACACGAGACGTGGAAGCCTGTGAGCGTGTTAGAGTCTGTTAAGTGTTAGAGTCCTAGGGTTACACGAGACGTGGTAGCCTGTGAGCGTGTTAAATCCTAGGGTTACACGAGACGTGGTAGCCTGTGAGCGTGTTAAATCTTGGGGTTACACAAGACGTGGTAGTCTGTGAGCGTGTAGACCGTTCCTCTATCGTTGTTTTAAGTGTCCGATCCAAAACCAAATCCTGGGGTTACACGTCATGTGGGAGCCTGTGAGCGTGTTAGTTTCCTGCGGAAGGTGTTATTTGCCTGTGGGAAAAGCGGTTATGCTGCGGTTCTAAGGTTAGTAAAGGCTATTATTAGTTTTAATACTTTCAACACTACTATATAACAAATAATTTGAGGATGTGCAATGATATGGATGTACCAATGAGTCACTAAAACGTTACGGCATCGGGGGCACCATGGAGGATCGGAGGGCGCTAAATCAGAAGACTTGCTTCCGGCCCTGTTAAGGAGTTGAGTACCCGCCACACCTGTTGTCTCTGTAACTACACCAACCACACCATATTTACATACTGACCACATCATCTCCTTGGGACTCATTGGTACATCTGATGTTGTTGCTTTCCCTCAGATTATTGTTAGTACTAGTGTTGAGTCTTAACAACATTGGGCATTATATATACATTTAAAACATTTATTTTACAAATTATAGTCTTACAAATTTGAACCATAATAACCTTTTTATTCAATTGTATTTTTTGATCAATTTATACCTAAATTAATGTCAATTATGACAATTGATTACATTCCAATTTTTAACACATCCCATCAGGCACTCAAACAATCATCTTTACCAATCACTACTTCACAACTGTCCTGTTGTGTTCGTCCGTAAATTAACTAGCCCTGTGATTGTATTACTCAAATAACAACTATTATTCTTCCCTTACAATTCTGATTCAACTTTTTCTCAACAGAGATCTCTTGTGTGGCGATTCTGCTCTTCTTATTTTCAGGTCGGTTGCGGGTCGGACGTGACAGTGCCCTCTGGTCAGCCTGGTGCCCCTATCGCCTTTCTACGCCATGCCCAACAAAGCTATCAACAAACAACGAACAAGCCTCGGAGGAATTCCATCTAAAGTACAGGACAAGAAGAAGGAGAAGAAGAACACCAAGAAGCCCTCCCCAGCAAATCCTAAGAACTGTCCATGTGGCCAGCACGACCCAGACTCCTGGGTTCTTTCTTGTACTAATTGCACCCAGGAATGGCACAGCAACTGTTCCAACCTAAAGGGTATTACAAATACTTTTGTTGAACAGCTTATCGACTGGATGTGTCCCTTTTGCTTCAGTCCACCGGGTGTTGAAGCCCGCAACAACACACAAACGGACAGTCTGATTCTGAGAATATCTAACTTGTCAGATGACAATGCTTTGCTTACGAAGCAGATAACCTCTCTCGAGGATAGACTAACTTCTCTGATTGCAGACACCGACAGGATTAGTAGCAGCTACAATCAGATTGCTGAGAGAGTGGTGGCCTTATCAGAAATAAGCACAGGTCTCACGCACTTAAATCTGCAACAAGATAAGACCAATTCAACGCTGAAGGCCTTATCAGTAAAACTCGAGAGCATATCAACCACGGCCACCCCACAACCAGAACATGTTGCCACGCCTCCTCCCCGTCCAGAGCATCTAGTGTTTGAGCCCCCTGCAGTCCCATCCGGTATGGTCCCGGCAACAATGATCAACGATTTTATTAATGAACAGGCTGCACAGACCATCGTTGACTTCCTAACAGCCACTGAATTTAATGATGAGAATGGTCACTCAGTGAAATCGTTTGGCCATCCATATTCTTATGTAGGGTCAAAAGCGACCACCAGTCCGCCCACCATTCCTGAAGCCTTGCAACCCTTAGTGGAGTCGATCAATAAGATGCAGGCTGATGAGTTCTACAAGATCTATCCCGAGCTGAAGAAGAAAGGAGCAGCACCAGTTATCAACTCCTGCTTGGTCAATCGATACGTTGGTCAGGAGAGCTTTCTTCCAGAACACTCAGATAATGAGATCACTATCCACCCCGAATCGTCAATTTTTACGATCACAGTGGGTGAATCTTGTGAGATCTTGTTTGCTGAGAAAAGCTCTAAGACTGACAGTCTCAAGTTAGACTGCAGCCACAGATCAATGTACCGAATGACTCGGCGGTCACAGGACTTCTTCTCTCATCGTATAGAGAAGGGTTCTGTGAAAAAAGGAGTTCGATACAGCCTGACCTTTCGATCAGTCAGTTGGAAGAATCGAAACTCCACATGTATCGTTGGCGACTCTAATACTGGCCACCTAGCCTTTGGAACTGGTAAACTGAACTCGTTTGGTGAGCTGATGCCGGGTCAACGGTTCTGGGCCGCTACAATGGAGGACATCAAGCCTGAGTGGTGCTGTGGCTACAACAACATCGTAGTATCTTGTGGTATCAACAATCTGAAAAAGAATGATGTGAGAAGTCAGGAGGACATTGATCGACTGTTCCTGCAGTATAAGTTGAAAATTAACGAAATTAGACAGTTCAATAGTAGTACTAATATTTTCATTGTTCCTATACTGCCTACTAAGTCTAACGAGCTTAATAAGAAAGCTTTGTATTTTAACTCACGTATATTCCGTGATTTGGATCAGCCTGGTTTGGGTGTATCACATGTCCGCGGTCTCGATGACTTCTTAGATCGCAACATGTTGCTGTCTGAGAGGCTGTCGAAGAAACTTGATAACCGCGGTAGACTTGATTTGTTGCACTTAAATGAGGTTGGTGTTAAACGATTTGCAGCTATTATTAAGAAAGCTATATTCAACAGGTTAAATAGAGGAGCTGAAAAGAGAAGGAGGACCCGAACCCCTAGCAGAACACAGAACGTGCTAACATCATCGCAAGTTGCAAGCTTACCTAGTCCTGATGGTCGTCAGGTATGATCAACAAAATTTTGAGAGAAAACTGTAACCATTGCCTGAAAAACGTTTACATAGGTCAGCCGATGTTTGAGTGCAGTAGATGTAATTGTATTGCCCACTCAAAGTGTTTTTCGCAATCAAAAGCACAAATTATTAATGACAACTTCTACTGCTTTTCGTGCAAAGATAAAATAGTACACAAGTATAATCCCTTCAAACACTTTGTAGATGACACAACCTCACCAGATGCACATGACGAAACATATAAAATATCCTCAATCTTAGACAAATGCCAAGCTTATTCTGCTAATGAAATCAACTCATCGCATGGAGAAAATCTTAAAAAGTTTTCCAGCTCCTACTTTCTTAACATTGATGGCAATAAAAGCAATTTTGATAGTCTATTAACTGAACTGCACCGCATTAACCAAAACTTCACCGTAATAGGTTTATCAGAAACTAACATAGGTCCTGATGAAAGCACCGTGTATTCAATTCCTAACTACAATAGTTTTTACCAGAATACTGTAGGTAATAAATCCAAAGGAACTGGTGTAGCATTATATGTTCAAGATAGACTTAGCAGTATTGTGAACGAACTTGCGTCAGACGTTACCGAGAATTTAGAATCACTATTCGTAACTAGTCGTAAAAACTCAGAAGAAGTAACTTTTGGGGTTATTTACCGACCACCCAGCGGTAATTTTGCAAGCTTCCTGACAGAACTATCTAGAATACTCCAGATATTGCCTAAAAAATCTGCGTATATAATGGGAGATTTTAACGTCAACCTCCATGTTAATAGTAAAGAAGTTAGCAATCTCGAGGAGATAATGTTTAGTGCCGGTTTCTCGCCTCTTATATCAACACACACGCACGAGAAGCCGGGATGCAATCAAACGTGTATTGACAACATTTACACAAATGATATAAACAAGGTTGTTGCCTCAGGTACAGTATCTGACAGAATCTCGCATCATCTGCCAGTTTTTCATATTTTTGAAGACCTAGCTGTAACTAACTCTGAACCTCAAGTTAAACATACCCAATATTATGATTACAGTGAATCCAACGTTCGAGTCCTTGTTTCATCCTTAAACCAACATTTCTCTGAGCACCCACCAAAAAACTTTATTGAATTTCACGACACATTCAAAACGAATCTAGACAAATCATGTAAACTCAGTAAACCTAAAGTCTCCAAAAGAACGCCAATGACAAATCCGTGGATAACAGGAGGATTAATCGCGTCTATAAATAAAAAACATGAGCTGCACGACCACTGGCATAAAGCGAAGAGAGAAAAATGTTTGCATAATCCAGGTAAACTTTGTCGTGAGATCAAGGAAGCCTGTCACTGCAATCCTTGTAATGATGCCAGGGAAAAGCATGCTAATTTTACTGACAAACGTAGGAGAGTTAAACACGTAATAAGACTAGCTCAACGCCTCTACACGTGCAACAAAATTGAGGAGTGTCAGGGTGACAGTAAAAAAACCTGGCAGTTAATTAATAAAGTGCGAGGAAAGCAAAATAAGCAAATGAAACCGTCATTCATGATAAACAATGAGCGTGTTATTTGTCGACGAGTTATTGCTCATGAATTTAACAAGTACTTTGTGTCAATCGCCTCCAATCTGAACGAGGTCTATGAGAGGAGGATTGATGAAGATCCTATAATTGCTAAATCATTCACTGACTACTTGCCACAGTCCTGTCCGTCAAGTATTTATCTTGCTGAATGTACAAGCTCTGAAATAATACAAATTATAAGTGAATTTAATAACGGTAAAGCTAGCGACATACCGGCACATGTAATGAAGCAGTGTAGTCAAACTATATCAGAACATCTTGCCAGAATTTATAACAACTGCATGAAGGAAGGTGTCTTCCCTGATCAACTGAAAACGGGTAAGATAACCCCGATATATAAAAAAGAAGATGAGGAATTACTAGAGAATTACAGGCCAGTATCAACATTACCAGTATTTGGTAAAATATTTGAAAAAATTATTTACAGTAGATTATACAACTTTTTCTTATCTCGAGGAATAATATTCGAAAATCAGTTCGGCTTTAGAAAAAACCACTCGACAAGTCATGCTCTTAACTACTCCGTAAATCACGTCGAAGAAAAACGGAATAATAAAAACCACGTATTAGGAATATTTATCGATCTCTCTAAAGCATTTGATACCTTACCATTTGATATGCTACTTAAGAAACTTAGTAATTACGGAGTTAGAGGAAACGCACTAAAGCTGCTCTCCAGCTATCTAAATAATAGATACCAGTATGTTAGTGTACTTGGTGAAGAATCAGAGCCTCTCCCAGTTAAACTAGGCGTACCTCAAGGATCCGTTTTGGGCCCCTTGCTTTTTCTTATCTATATAAATGACATCTATAGATGTAGTACATTAGGAAAATTTGTACTATTTGCAGATGACACAAACATCTTTGTAGCTGCTGAAACTAAGGAACAAGCATACAAAATAGCGAATGAAATTCTCGACTCTGTGTGCCAATATATGCGCCATAACCTACTGCACATTAATGTTAAAAAATCTTGTTACATGTACTTCTCGCCTACTAAACGTAAGACCATTGATAATACTGAAAATGACTTGAATCTAGAAATTGATGGGATCCCGATCAAACAGGTTACTGAAACGAAATTTCTAGGTGTAATTATTGATGACAAACTGAGTTGGACACCTCATATCGAGAAACTAACTAAGAAATTAAACAGCATATGTGGCCGTATTTATCGAATAAAAAACTCCCTCCCCAGCCAGCTGTACAAACAGATATACCACACTCTTTTTGAATCTCATCTAGGATACGGTATAACTGTATGGGGTGGTGTATCAATTAATAAGCTTTCACCACTATTCCTTGCACAGAAGAAATGTGTCCGAATCTTATTTGGGGACTCGGAAGCATTTAGCGACAAGTTTAAAACTTGTTCTCGTAGCAGGCCAATCCAGTGCAGTATAAACAAGAAAGGTCATATATCCAATGAATCAACTATACCTCACATTAAACCGTGTTCTATATGTATCAGCTTGAGGAAGACTGGTGATAAACAAGCAAGGCCACATCGCTGCCAAATACTTGGGGCAGAATTCCACTCTAGAGAATCAACAAAACCTATTTTCCAATCTAAGGAACTAATGACAGTACATAACATATATAGATACAGATGCATTACTGAAACAATGAAGATAGTGAAGAGTCATCAGCCCATATCCATGTATTCTCTCTTTAAGAAGTCTGAGCTCAGAGATGACAGATTTGTGACACCACACTCATCTCACAATTTCGCATATAAAGGGGCAAATTTATGGAATAGGTTTCTTGAGCAGTCAAATGCACGTGGTAAAATAGGTTCACTAGGTTCAATTAAATCCCGATTGAAGCTTTCTATCATGAAGGCTCAACACCAACCTGACAATATTAACTGGCAGGACTTAAACTTCAACACTTTCCTATGAAAAGACCCCCATTTATATTTATATATTTTAGATTTTACACCTGTCACTCACATCATATATGCACCACAAAAGAAAAAAGATTCATTCAATCATTACATTATACACTCACTCCACCACACATGCACACAAAACATTAAAGCAGGTTACACGCGGGTGTAACGTTCACTTTATCCGAAGGGAAAAATAATACTTTACGTAACGCGCGATTTACGTCTCGGTAGCTAAATTATTCAAGTGCTATTTGTCAGAGCGACACAAATGCGCGAGCGCTTGCGCGGCTCACCTATCCAACACTCTTGTTTACATCGTATCAGGCAATGGTTCAGTTTAATTATGGTAAGGGCACAGCCTGTCAAAAACCCTTTTCGCATGATCCGTCGACACCGCCTGAAGGTGAATGCATAATAACGGATCATGAACGTACGGAATCAAACGTTAATAAGCTTGCAGCTTCCGATGAAAATGTATTCAACTTGGTGTCATGCTTGAATTGGTTTTGGACCTCTTCAATGCTTTTAATTTATTTATTATCGTTATTTGGTATTATGAGCTGATATGTATATATACATACGGTATCTAAAATTAAGCGTATAGCGAGCATATTTAACAATTTTTAAGCAATTATAATGTATTGCGAGCAGCTGTAACTTAAATATCGCATAAAAATCATATAATTATAACACAAAACTAAAATTTTATTGAAATCTAGGTTAAACTAAGATAAAATTAATATCAGCCCCTTCGCCACTCTCAGCAGTCAACCAGGGCTCATAAAAGCTTAACAGCGCCTGGGTCCGTTCACCAACTGTGCTAATATAATGTGAGTGGCGGTGTGGTAAAACCCATTTTAACAGCGTGAATATTTATCAAATATAAGCGCGCTAGCTGCTAGCATACTTGTATCATTTAATTTTTAATCAAATTTATTCGGATATATATTTATTGATTATGTATTGAATTGGTGATAAATAATAAAATTGTCTTTTCTCAAAAAAAAAAAAATTGTCTTTTCTCATTAGAGCCTTTCCTTTGTTGTAGAGATGGCTAGTCCCTTCCTTTGCATTTTAAATAATAAAATTATTCAAACAATATACACATAATATAGCAATGACCCTATATAAAATCAACCCTTAAAGAATTCAAAAAATTCCCTTAACAATCAAAAATTACCCTTGGCCTTGTGGCTCCAAGTTAAGATCTAGACTGTTTATATCAACAATGTTTTTTCTTGCACCCCTGTCTCCACGGAGAGAAATCACTGTTGTTCTAAGGATTTCAAAGCGAAGGCGCTTTCTGATGTATCCTACAGCGTCTGAGTACCTCTGGCCAGTGTGGTACTCCATCTTACTGGCCAGCTTCTTGACCAGTCTCTCAGCTTCACCACCCATTCCACCAGAACAGATCATGGGTGGTGGCAGTGGTGAGGCCTGATTCAGGCTCTGACCACGGAACATACTTCAATCTCTTTTCAAGAGGGACTGTTTTGTAGAATTGCATCTTTACAAAAGCGTCATTTATTATCTCTGTCAGCTTGGCTAAAGCATAAAGTGGTTTTGATCGGACAAACTCA